TAGAGGTTGACATTCACTTCATTCGTGACAAATGTTGCTACGGGTCAAGTTCGAGTTCTCTATGTTCCATCCATATACGAGTATGTAGATATATTTATGAAAGGGCTTTCTTTTCCACTATTACCCGACTTTTGCTCCAGTTTAAACATTCATGAACCTCGAGTTGTAACTACGGGGGCATATTTGTCATGTATTCATTACACTGTTGTATTAACTTATCCCTATTGTTGTATTCAACCCTCTTGTATTCTCGGCCCACATCTATTGGACTCTTGTATATATATTGTTTGGTATCAATGAAATCATTCAAGGGAAACAATAGCTTTTAATAATTATATTAATTTGAAAAACATGGATTACATTTTTTCTTGTATCGCGTTTCATTATTTTCACAAAACAAGAACATTGAGTTTATGGATTTAAATTTTAAGTTTTAACAAAATTATGTTGGTAGATTCATATCAACGGTTTGTATATGTTTATACAACTGCATTTAACATGAACAATATGTGTTTATCATCACTGTAAAAAAAAAAAAAAGAAAAAAATTTCATTTATAACATCGATTTTTTATAACCATTGTTCGGTCTTTTTCAAAAAGTATTCCAAGAAGAACATGCACTTTGTGACAAAATTAGAAGTGACATATACCCGATTTCGAATTCAAGTTTACCAGAAATTATGTTCCCTACATTCATATGTTTCATACCTAACTCATTCGTACACCATTTGACACATATCTAACCATATGCATGCTCGATTAATTTTTTGGTCTCATTGTACAATTTTCACCAAACTCCCCAAACAAATCGACAATTAGTACGCAGTCTTTGATCCTCCCCGAGTAATAAACCAGACCAAATTAATTCATGGTATTATTTTAGCTTTTGTGGCTACAATTTTAAAGACACTTAAAAGGGTCCGTTACTAAAGTCTGGGCATTATCCAAGTTCATTTAATTAGGCCTTTAACATATCTTTGTCAATTAGGTACATGCATTTATCGTTAATCTTCTTCTTTCCTAAAATGGAAAGACGAACATGCGAAACATACGTCATCTTACTTTCTATACCCTATTTTTGTGCATAAATTTTTACGACCTATAACTTTAACATTACTGAAAGCTTCAAGAGCACTTATTTATTATCCTACAATAGACACGTGCATTCCTGTATAATTTTTTTATTATGTTAATGTATATCTCCGTTTAGTGATGTATTAACTTGATCACATTTGATATTTATTTGTGTTTAGCTTAATTAATTGTAGAATGTATAGGCTCGAAAGATCTCTGATAAAGTTATGCCTCGTGTAATAATCAATCATAAGATCGATTGAAAAACCCACTCGATCAAGTTACGAGATTAGATTACTATGAAAGCTTCATATAAACCAGGTAAGAGTATTATCAGGAGTAAAGTGAATATTAAAGAGATTTATAAACGACAGACAAAAGTAACCTAATTTTACATTAACTCACCCAACTCTCATTTACATACGCTAAAAGACAAAACCATAAACACACACACAAGAAGACAAACAAAAAACGCACACATAAACACACACATTGCAGTATAAATAGGAGGTGTGTTTCATAAGGAGACGTGTGGTTGAAGTTCTTGTTTTCACTCACAGTCGCTGCTACTAACAGCTTCAGTTTCCACCACCCTTCTATGGAAGTTGCGGTGGCAACCACAGGCGGCACAGGTAAGTGAAGCCTCCGTGTCCTCCTCCTCACTCGCCGCCATGAATTCCCGACACCCATCAACAGCATACCCGCCGACGTTGGCTGCATGGTTTCTTTGACACTCGCCATATCTCACATGAACCCTCATCGTGTTCGATGAGTTAGCTGAATCCATTAACGGTGGTGGTGGTAGTGGTTCTTCCCTTTTCAACACAACTCGTCTTTTCGTCATTTCTTTAGAGAAAAGATGTCTTCTTTGTTTCTTAACTAGCGTAACCCTAAAAGGGATTATTTATAGGCTGTAAAGCTTTTCACTAACCTTAAGAATATATTTGATTAGTTTCACTTTTCACCCTTACTATTTGATTATGTTGCCATTCTTAACCTTACTGTTTTTATTAATCACAATTAGACCTTTGTGTTTTTTTTGTAAGGATACTACGGCAGAATTATAGTTTAAGTTTTGGTTAGAAGTAGGCATGTGTGCTTCCACATGTATATGCGATCTTAGCTATCTATTGGCACATGTATGTTTCTAAGAATATTTCCTGTTTCTTTTTTTAGCCTTAATTTTACCATGTTTTTCGAAATCTATTTTTTTTATAAAAAATTATAGTAGATATTATATATTTTACAACTACTTTTACAATTTCTTGAAGTCGATTTTTGAAATTTGTTACAGAGTTTGTGTAATATTTATTAGATATATGAATTTCTTGAGAAAAGAATGATCAATTGTCCGAATAGATATGTACCCTCTTAGCAAAATAAAGGACTAATTTATAATCTATAATCTATTTATTTTCAAATCCCTCTCCTTTAGAGTTGGTATTATATATATAGAAAAAGTGAATGACAGAGAAGTTATGCCAAGATATTGTGCCCAAAAATGTTTGGTTTAAAAGGAATTCAGATTGGCAAAATGCTTATAGGAGGGAGCATGTTACATCAAATTGTCAAGACTTATCCTAAGAAAAATCTTAATTATGAATTTATAATTGGATATTATCCGTAACATTATTAGTATGATTTACTATGTTAACAACAAAATTTCTTGCGTTTTAGACCGCAAAATTGAAATTATGTCCAGAATGTAAGAAGAGTAAAAAGACAAGGGTTGTAAGTGAAAGTATCATTTATCTCATGTGATGGGTAATAATGTATATAATGTATAATAGTTAATTAAGTGACAAAACACTCTCTAGAGTGGTCCAATTATGATTTGATTACCCAAATGTTAACAACTCATTAAGCATAGAACAAAAGTGTTTCCTTCTTTTTGAAGGGATAAATGAAAAAAAAAATGGTCATTAATAGACTTTCATTTCATCTAGCTTGTTGAACTGCCCAAGAACAACTAAGCTAGTAAACTCGTAATTTATATTTTTGGTTATCCTTTTCATAACATTTTTATAATGCATGCAATCAAACAAAGAGAAAAAGTGATTCCATATTATTATTAATTAGAAGGATGTGATGAAGTGACTGGAAATCATGCGTAAGTCCTAACAATTCAATGCACCAAATACGACATTTAATTTCATTTGACTTGTTGAAATGGCCAAAAAAGTATAAAGATTCTTAGGTTTTCGGATGGCAAGAGTTTCTTTATTTTACTATACTAATTTCTTTTTGGATGGCAAGATAAGTTGCGATAAATGAGGATATAATTGAAATGAGCAATTAACTTATATTATACGATGTAATTGTGAATAAAATACGAATTTTAATTTCATTAGATTTGTGAAACGACCAAAAACGAAATAAGCTTTAAGGTACTGGCTTATCAATATTATTATTTTTTTTTTTACTTTTCTTTCTAAAATGGCTAATTAAACATCAGTGGTCAATTCAATGTATCAAATATTAATATCCTCACTTTGGATGTGACATTAGGGTTCCATCTTCAATGAATCTAATTAATTGATTATGATAATTGGGCATGGTTTTCTTTTAATTGAGTAATGACAAACTAATGGGTAATGTGTAATCTCACCATTTTAAGAAAAAAAATTGACTAAGAATAAAGATTAAATGAATCGATATCAAATTTGTGGAGCTCTCATGGGATTGTTGCATGTATGCTTACGCATTTTAGGCACTTCTATCCAATTAATATTCCTTTAATATACTTCTAGTAATTGAAATATTCAACGACTCGAGTATAACTTTAACTTCTTAATTATAAAAGAGCTTATAGCTTAGCAATATGAAGATAAGGGGCCCTTCAACCAATCAAAGTATTTTCCGATGATGATCGAGTTAATCTAGGTTTCTGGTGTTGACTTGTGAGTTATTTCCTCATTCTTCCATTGGTGTGGTGATGGGGGGATAGGGTACCATAATGATTGGCTCTCGTTTTGACTTGTGAGTATTTTCCTTAGCATGTAAGTTGCGTGTATAGATGGAAGAAGGCTGTGAAGACCCATCAAATGACAAACATATATATATATATATATATATATATATATATATATATATATATATATATATATATATATATATATATATATATATATACTAGAAAACTTTTAGGCTCGTGCTAAGCACGACCCAAAGAAAATAATTTAGGTATTATTTTAGTGTAATCTAATGTCACAATGAAGGTAGGGTGATATAGGTAAAAGATTACTATGAATTTGGCATAAACATTTTTTAATATACTATACATTCCAAGCTTTACATTGCGAAGTTTAAGTGAAATATATCATTGACATATTCAGTAACATAAAATACATACATTAATTTACATTAATAAGTGTTTTATTGCTTCACCACCAGGTAATACATAAATATATCATTTACATATTCAGTAACATAATATACATAATTAATTTACCTTAATAGGTGTTTATTGTTTAACCATCAGTTAATACATAAATATATCATTTACATATTCAATAACATAATATACATACATTACTTTCCATTGGCAGGTGTTTATTGCCTCACCACACCATTATGTGATATAGAGAACGAATGAAATATCCAATGTCAACATCTTGATAATAATTTGGTTCCTGCAAATACATTACTAATTTAAAATCAAATTAAATATAAAACAAAATGTAGCTAGAATTTATATTGATATGCATTCCATATTTCAGTTCAAGTACAAATGGAATTCGTGTTTTTAATTTGAATATTTACCAAAGGAAGTTGACAACTTCTCTAATGTCTCTAAATCGAAAATTATGATGTTGCTATTTGCATAATATATAAGTAAGTAATAATGATGCTTCCACAAAGTTGTATTTAACAAAAATTGATGCTGACATGAATTTCATTAAAAAAATGATTACTAATGAAATACCTATTTCATTTTTTTAGATGGTCTTGTAGGAGCAGCTGTTGAAGTTTCTATCCCCTTGGATCTCTCGATTTGATGTTGGCTACACTTTTGTGTTTGCATAGATGAAGGCGTTTTGGTTGATGATTGAGGGTCAGGTGGGTTTGATGTTTCGATTTGTTGTTGGTTATGGGTGTTTTGTTGTTGAGGATTATATGCCTTAACAATGACAAATCTTTTGGTAGGTTTTTGTTGATGATATGTTTGATATGATCGTACAAATGCTACAATTGATAAAGATTTAATTGATGCTGCAATTTTGTCATGAACTTCTTCTCCCTGACACAATTACACAATTACTGGCTAGTCATTTGGTATTAATTTACTTCTTTACATATGGATAAATGACAGAATATTTATCCTTACATTTTCTTCGGCTTCTCTAAGTGAATTTGGATTAAACTGAATGAACTTTTCTATATCTATTGTAGAAATAGTCGCACAAATGGATCCGCCTCCATCATCGATATTAATTGTTGCTCTTGACCTGTTCATTCAAATGTAGTAGTATTAGTGTTTTTGTAGATTACAATTTATTATATAATTTACTTACATGATTCTAACTTTGGATTCACTTTTGCATACAGGATATGTGATGTGATGGTCCAACTAACATCTGCTTCAATTAGCTTCAAGCAATTAGCACATCCGGTTTGTGTGAAACTCCTATCCTGATGTGGAAAACTGAGATTCCCTTTAACCCACGTTGGTTTACCCTATTATAAAAAGTATATCTTGATTTGTATTTATCTTCGAATTAGAAAAGTTATTAATTTGTATAATGATCTAGGTTTGTGTACTCACATTTTCCATCCTTGTGATTGCTACAGCCATTGGAATTATGTCCTCTTCTTCGGGATGTGGCAAAAGAATATCAATATCTTTGTATGTTTCCTTTCGAAGTAACTCTTTTATTTCGTTGTTGTTTTGTTGAAACCTGTTAAGTAGATTGAAGTTACCATTGATATCAATAGTTGGCTAGTTGTTTTGTTTGAAAATACCAGTTGTCTAGTTGTAGGTCTGCCTTGACTGGTGGATTTATAAGGATTGAAGATCCATTAGTTGTTGACAATGATAGCCCTGCATTGGGAATTACTTGGTGATATCCTTATCATATATACGGAAATATAGATGTTTAAATTGTTTTAGTTAAGTGGCCTTACCATAGAAAGTTGTGACCTTCACTTTTATAGCAAATATCATTGGCCTATTCTGGGTCAATTCTTCTATTGCTTTTCCTTCATTGTCATTCAAGGAATCCCATAATGTAAGTATAAGCAGTTTTTTCCTGATAATAAAATACACAAATGTAAAAGAAAATAATAATGTAGCTACAAAAAACGTAATGAGATTGGATTGGTGTTTGTTGGTTAATTTTTGTACATACTCTTCATTCACAATAATCACATCTCTCTTTGATGATGTTTTTGCTCCTTGATCTATTAGTCGACTTGGAAAGCATTTAATAACGACCCCTCGTACATCTTTGAATTTAGAACAATATCATGAGTGATGTTGTAGTAAGTTTAAGGTGATAATGCGAAATATGTAAAGTTTGTCTCGCTTTGGTTGTTTCCTGCATCTGCATACTTGAACATCTGACTAAACGGAGTGAATGTGAATAGGCATGGGAGTGGTGGTGGACTTAGCTCTGGCTGCGGTTCAACGAGGGTATGTTTGGTGAGTGACCACGAATGTTCATATGAACTGAGTCGAAATCTTGGTTCTGTTGGTATCAACTTTGCATTGGAAATTCGATAGCGTTTGTATGCTTGGAATGTGTTTTTTATAAAATTCCAGATAGTTACTAAAGATTAAGGCTGATACCTTAGTTCCCTGTTATTTGTACACAAGAATTAACATGATATATTTTGAACAAAGATGCAATTTAATGTTGTTTTACCTATGTATTAATAAACATGAGTCTTCTGTAGTTGCTTTTGGTCTTGCTCTGTTTTGTGTTCCCACATTCTAAAACTTGAATGATGACAGTCCATTTTTTGTTCAGGTTGGGAGTAATATCCAATATGTTTGATAGTTCTCTCTCCATGTGGTCGTGTTTCTGCTTATTTGTCATCTGAAAATATTACAATGTTTTTTCTGGTACATGGTTGATGTCAATACTTGTACATGAATTAGTTAACATGTCATAAATAGTTAGGGAACAACATATAAGTGGATATTTATATTTGGACTTGATATCATTATTGCACAATGTTTTTATTATAATAAACTGTTATTAGAAATTTTTGGTATTGTTAGATTTTTAGTTTATAAGGGGATACAATTAAATCAAGAAATGGAAACATACACAAAAATAACAGATGACCATATGCATGCCATGTGAGAGGGAAATACATAAATAAAAATCATTACCAATTGCTGGCCATAGATAGATGGGAAGAGGTGAATTTAAGTTTGGGTTGTGCTGATGTTTAAATTGATTTGAAGAATAGAGAAGATGAGTATGAAATTGAAATGAGAATACCATAACTTATTCTCTAATGTTTTGTTATGAAGTGACATGAACGATGGTTGACAATTGAAAAAATTCACATGGTTCTCAACTTAAAATCGTTATGCTAATGGCAACAATACTACAGTAAGTTGGAACATAACTGGATTCTTATGTGTGGAGAATTGTAGAAATGATGATGAAAATTGAAGATCTTACGAATTTTGAGGAAGCGGAAAGTATTCCTTTGATTGATGCCGCCTTTTTGTTGTGTGTAGGTTGTCCTTGAAATATGATTTAAACAAAATATTGATGCCATTAATAACTGTATTGCGGTTACATGATGATTATTAAATTCGGTTTGTCAGTTACTTATTCTCCGTTGGATGGATGGTCCTCTGTAATTATTTCCATCTAACATTTTAATAACAATTATTATGTAAATTTAATATTATAGACATTCAAGTTTTTGGAGCATTTTGTTTCCTCCTTTTAAAAGGGTATTTTGGTCTTAATCTAGTTTCTTATTATTAGAAAAAGAACAGGTAACAAATTAATATTGTATTTGTAAATTATTATGTTTAATAATCACATTTATAAAGTTAAATATGAAACAAGGAGGTGTTGTAAAAGTTGTAAATTTTTATTTATAGTTTATAAGTTCGTTAGTATTTAACTTTGATAATATTTTCAATTTTAAGTAAACATTATTGTGGAGCTATGGTTATAAAAGGACTGTAATACAATATTTTATTTCAAATAACTTTCAAATACATTAATCAAAACTTAATTCCCTTTGTAAATTTATTCAAAGAACAATTTTCCAACAGAATAACAAAGAAAAAAGTGTTACATAAGCCTGGTACAAAAAAGTCATTTAAATATCATATCTATTTTCATATGTGTCCCTACTTACTAATGTAAAATTGTGTCTGTACCAAGTAAATGGATAAATTAAAAACTTTCATTGGTCTCTTTACAAATCTTTAATTATGTTGTTGAGTACACCCCCAAAAATGTATATCATCAAAGAAATGATAGTTGTGTCATCATTTTTTTGTTCTTATTCCACATACTACATGGAGACTCCTGTTCGTCGTTGTATTTGTGTCGGTCCAATAATCCATGAAACTGGTCATGGCTATTTTTTCCTTAGAGCATTCCCCTAGAAATTGGAAAAGGAATAAAAAAAAGTTACATATGATCTCCATGAAAAAAAAGCGCATCTTTTAATTTTGGTGAACATGAAAAGTTCTTCTTATGATATGTAAGAAACTATATTTGACAATGCTTCTTATTAAGTTCATTTCTACAGTGAAACTGAGAAAATAAAAGGTTAAAATTAACTAAACCTTATATTTACTTCAACCTTTCTGACTACCAGACACTGACGGGTCCAACCTGAAATCTGAGGTAAAAGAGAATCAAATTGATAATCAAAATATTTATATAAAAGTAAATATCATTACCATTTTCATTTGGAATCCAGTGACATTACTTTTCCACCAATAAAAACTAAATTCCTTGAAACAAATTTGAAATGTTATCAGGTTGTTTCATGCATGGTAAACCTTAAATGGCTTAGCTGTGTTGGCAGATTGTACTACAACTCCAATAGCAACACCATCTACAACACTGTTTTAATTCCTCTATATAATTATATGAATTAGTAAAAAAAAAAACCATTTTAACTTCATAAATGAATGTGGCAGATGTGAAGTTGAAACAAGCATGACATGAATCTTTACTGTTAAATGTCACATTGATTTGCACCTGGTATAAAATTAAAGCAGGGTATTGGAGGTTCGATGGAAGGTAATATATAATAGATGCTAAGCCCTTAGTTCATGGAGTACAATTAACAGGTCCACCCTGAAATCTGAGGTAAATGATAAATAAAATGATAAGCAAGATAGATAATTGAGCATATTTAATTATAAGACTAATTCAAAATGTATACCTGACTTGGTCATTAGGTGTGTGGTTGCTATAATTCCCTTAGACAGGTTGCCTTTGAAAACTTCTATTGTTACAGACATGCCTCATCCAATATACAATTCAATTGCATGAGAATATACAAAAGTTGCAGAATTAGTACAATGATGTTACATTAACCTACCACGAAATAAATGCATGTAAAATATTAACAAACCTTCAATATGATTCATGTAGATAACAACAGGGGACATTGGGCTTGAAATGAACTGCTACCATGAGTGTTGTTAACATCACCTGTGTACTTTCTAAAAATTTCTAACTTGTTGATTTTTTGATGTGATATTTGACCTGCAAAATTGAATTCAAACTTTCATTAATTGGCTATTTTTTTGTTAAATTGTAAAGGGTTACAAGAATTGTAAGTAATGTGTGGAAGTAGGAATGTACACCTGGTTGGCATATTGTAAGACTTGCTGATATACAATATTTTTGGTTTTTTGGGTGTCAGTACCATTTTGTGATTGATTAATAACAACTTTAACATTTCCAATTGTTCTAGCTCGTGATAGAGCAACATACAATTGTCCGTGGGAAAAAACATGCTCTTTTAGATATACACCTACACAGTCTAGGGTTTGACCTTGTGCTTTGTTAATTGTCATTGCAAAGCATCGTTTGATTGGAAATTGCATTCTTTTGAATGGAATTGTGTATTCTTCACCTGTTCGTGGTTCTAAAGGTATTCTATGAATAAATACTTGTTTCCCAGCAAAATCTCCAATTGCAATTTCTGCTTGAATAACATTCCTATTGAAATTTTTGCAAAAACGTATTGTACCATTACATAATCCTTCTGTTGGATTCATGTTTCTTAATAATATTATAGGTGCATTTTTCTTCAAAACAAGTCAATGTGGTGGCATGCCATTTGGAGTTAAAGAGTGAAGAAGATCTTCATAATGAGCTTGGTCGTTTGGATCAAGTGTTTCATCAAAACTAATATACTCCATTTCTTCACCTGGGAATTTGTGTATTAAGATATCATTGATCTCATGTACAAAATTGTTGTTTGTTGTCAATATAGCTCGGTTCAAGGTAGAATGGACATTGGTTGAAATGTTGGATATATTAGGGTAAACATAGTCTATAAGAACATTTAACTGATTTGTTGTTGCATTATTTTGTATGACGATTTGTGTAGGAAGAGTAACAAAATCATTATCATCTGAGATTTCTTTGCCATCACCTATTCTTAGGAGAAAATTTGTAAACATAGGATCTAGAAATAACCTCATTTTTTCATCTAGTTGTAGTAGAGACAATGATTGCCATAGATGAGAGTTAGTCAAACAGACAGCAATTGTATTTGACTTGTTACCATTTCGAACAACTGACAATGTTTGTCTAAAATCACCACCAAGTACAACCACTTTCCCACCAAAAATTTCTGTTGAATCCATAAGATCTTGTAGTAAGTCATCTAGAGCTTCTAATGCAGATCGTTTTGCCATGGTAGCTTCATCCCAAATAATCAATTGACAGGTCTTAATTAATATACCTAAAGAACATTCCTTACTAATTCTACAAATTGACCTGTCTATTAAATCTAATGGAATTTTATATCTTGAATGAGCTGTTCTACCTCCCGGAAGTAATGATGCAGCAATGCCTGATGTTGCAGTTGCTAATGCAATATGTCCTTTTGATCTGATTTTTGCTAGCAATGCTCTATATAGGAAAGTTTTCCCTATACCACCTGGACCATCAATGAAAAATGTTCCACCTTTATTGGCTTTCACTTTTCCAATTATTGTATCAAATGTAATTTTTTGTTTTTTTGTTAACATTATGTATTGATTTTAGATCATCATCTGATACAATAATACTTTGTTGTGCGATTATTTCCTCTGTTTGATCATCTAAATCAGTATATGATAAATCATCTGGCAATATATCAAATTCATGAATTTGTCTTCCTGTTGATTGTAAATAGGTGTTAATTTGCTTAAACGCGTTTCGTTTGGCTTCTTTTTTTGAATAATTGTTGCAGTGTAGAAAATCTTCTAACATTGCAGATTCAAAAGATAGCCACAACTCACGAGGATTACTTGGAATTGTGTATACAAGCAAGCTTGCAAAAAGTCTTCGTAATTCATATGGCATGTGGTAAACTGATGCTTCTTGTAGGCATAATTTTTGGCTATTATCATCAATTAGATATCCATGTAGTAATGCAGATTCTTGAAAGGTAGCAACCTTAATTCCTTTACAAATCTTAAGACTATCATATGATTTTGGACATCTTATTTTGGATAAAAGTATCCGTAGATAATATCTCTCACCTTCAATTGGATGAGCAAGCACAATACGTCCTATTGATTTTTCAGTTTTTCTGGGTGACCAAATCGTCGTATCTGACTTCCATACAAAATGGTTTGGATACTCTACATATGTTAAATTAAGATGTTGTGCAAATTTGTATGTGTTGTTTTGAACAAAAAACTCAGTAAGCATAGTTTTTCTCTTTGATGAATTGGCAACAATATTGGTTATTTGTTCTTTCCTTTTAAAGGTTATCGGTTGATAATCTTCTAAATGAAGGGGTAAATGAATAACCGCTGGTTTGATATCGCCTAATGAAAATCTAAAAATTCTCCAAGCTGCCTCGGGGGGTGAAATCCACCTACCTGCTTGAAATTGATCAATTTCGTTTATTGTCTCATGATGGTCATTTAATGAAACTACAAAACTTATTTTGTCAGAACCTTTGCATATATATTTATATATGTATTTGATTGCCTTTATTGTTGAGCATATTTCTAAATTAATATGACAATTAAAGTTACATAATAAATAGGGATTGTATGGAACAACCCATCTATTATCTAGCTCTGCACCTCTAACCATAACCTTTACGCCATTGTCACGTCTTCTATAAGTCGGATATGCATCATTAGTTTGGGTCGTTTCACAACAAAAAGCTTTTGGATATAAATTCTTGCAAAAGCCTCTTTTTTTCATACAAACATTACGTGGGTTAAGAACACCACATGGACCGTGAATCATGTGCTTCAACACCATTCTAAATAGATGAGGATTTGACTTTTCATCGGGTATTTCAGCAGAAACAATCTCATCATATTCTTCTGAATGGTACATCTTATAATGAGATGAAAGTATAAGTAAAAAATGTGCATGAGGAAGACCTCTCCTTTGAAACTCAACCACATAAGTGTACGCCACAACTTTTCCAAATATTTCTTTTTTCAAAATTTCTTTTTTAAATTGCTCAAGTTTAGCATGGAAAACTCTTACAATTAAATCGGCCCTATTTTGTGTTTCCTCTTGAATCATCATGTGTTGCCTAATTTCTGGCCAATTCGGGTTGCAAGTTAATGTAAGAAAAATGTTAGGTTTTCCAAACTTTTGCACTAATGCCATAGTGTCAATGTATTTTCGTCTCATATTCCTTGGACCACCAATAAAATTTGCTGGTAAAACCACACGACGACCTATAGTTGAGGCATTAGTTTCACCACTTGCTAGTGCATCTACAACCCCTTGAAGGAACTCTTGTCGTAACTCATGTTGTTGTTTTCTGTAGAAAGCTAATCTTTGTGTTTCTAATTTCACATAACTGTCCACAATATATTGTTGTAATAATCAACCAAAAAGCAGTAAGCAAGATTTGTCATGTTTACGAATTTGAAGTTTGTAGGCATAATATTCTCTAACAGAGACATATTTTGCTGTTTCAGAACTTCTTGTCATCACTGTTAAGAAAAATTAATTAATTTGCATGAAGCAAGGAAAAATAAAATTGAAACTGCATTTACTACCTGACTCTTCCATATTTAATAAGTCGTCGACATTTGTCATTCCCATGGGCGAGATAGGAACATGTAACTATCCTATTGTGTGTTTGTTCGTTGGCACTTTTTTTGGGTATATGTTGATGCCAATCAAGTTACCCAAATGGAAACATTAAAGGGTATTGTAATGGATCATAACAACCATAATAATATTCAACACTCTTGGGTATGTTACTATGTGTTCTAACTTCAATATTTCTTTTACCATGTTCTCTGTTCTCTTCGCCTTCAACCCAAATAGTTGCACTTGTGCAACTTCAGGCTTGTTATACACACGTTGATCTTGTGTCGGGATAGTCTTAAGAATAATCCTATAGTCATCTATAAATGGAATGTCTCTTAAATTTCGGAAAAAGCATGCATATGGATTATGATGTAGATAGGTTATGCATTTTGCAATTAAGTCTTTGGATAACCGTGGAGAAGATGTTAATCGATTTTCTATTTCATTCTCAGTATCGTGAAAATACAATTGCAAGTTTTTAGCTTTTTTCCTTTAGGATGTAAATCATTTACGAAATGATACACTTGACCTTGGACACTAAAAGTGTAAATACCCTTATTTCTTCTTGTTAGGTTCTTGTCAGCTGTAACACCAAATGAAGTGAAGGAAAAATGATTATTGTATGTTCTATATACCCTTGCTTCTTCTGAGGTAGATGTTAACAAGTCATGCATGACAAGTGGGAGTTCATTACTGGATAAAACAATACGACCTTCTAAACAACAAAAGTTTGATGTTTCTGAATGAAACTTAACAGCATCACAATACTTGAGGAAGAATATCAGCAGATAAAATAACTTGTTGCAAATGTTCTTTTCCTGTTCTATTGTTGACTTGATTGCCCATGTTGTTTGACATTGCAACTGAATGAAAAATATTTTTAGCTTTTATCTTATTAATTCTTCTTTTTTCTCTAGTTATGATTTCATCTGAGTTGGTTGATTTTTCTCCGTTGGTTGAGTTTTCTCCTGTGGTATCAATTATTTTTTTGTTGATGAATTGTAGTTTTGCATTGCAACTGTTTTTTCTTTTCTTTTGTCTCCATTTTATAATTGCATCTTTTCTATATTGTTTCTTATATTGCCAAGCATTATGAATCATATTTAACTTTTCTATTATATAATTATACCTCCCTTTTTTCTTCTTCCAATTTATAATTGCTAATCTCCTGTATTGGTTCTTTTGTATAATGGAACATGCAGCAACAGGTAATGCTCTTGTGTAATTTGTAGAGGTATGTTGACATGTTTTCATGATATTCAAATTGATTGCAATTACTGGCTTCTAAATATATTTTTGTGTTTTTTTTTTCAAATTTATAGGAGTTGTATTTTCTTTAAACGTTTACACCAATTGAATTAAAAAATATATTAAGTATCTTCATAGATTAAGCAAGAAAGAAGAACCTGGCAGTTGACATAAGGTGCCTACCATAGACATGTTAACTGATGGCCGGCCTTCAGTGTAAACAGATTCAACATCTGGTTCATTAAAAAATAGATAAATGACTATATTTAAATATATTCCCCACAGGGAAAGAAATAGGATACTAACAACATACATTAAGTGGGATTCTAACCTTTTATTGAACATTCTGGGAAGATGAATGAATCCTTTATCAATGAAGATGATTTGCAATCAAAATCTTGTACATCACTATCCTAAAAGATCAAATCATGTTTCTTGACAGTTTTTGCAAGTTTAAAAAATAAGATATATAATTAATTTTTGAATCTTATGAATGGAAATTCCAAACAACAGAATTATTTAAAAAAAAAACCCCTTACTTTGAAGTTTTTTTCAGTAACATGCAAAAGGTTAGAATTTATAGTTTTGCCGAAACCCACAATCTTTAGTTGTTAATTAGGCTTGGAATTGCTCTTTCTTTAATCTAAAAGTAAACCAATGCATCAGGTACATTTACAAGTTGTAATTGCTAAGTGTTCCTTAACAAAGTAAGGCTTTGATATCAAATGGGAGTGCATGAAAGAACCGAATTATCGTTATTTTAACACCGATTTAAGGGAAAATAAATGGATATGGGTGTATTACTGATGCAAATTTTGTGATAATTTCATCGAGGAATTCATATTGAAGCCCTAAATTGACTGATGCATTCTTAATCACGAATAGGAGGAATAGCAGAAAGATGCGTAACATGAATCTGTGAGATGGAATGAAGAAATACAATTGATACAGGATAATTCTTACCTGTTTCTTTAGACAGGGGGTTTGTTGACACAATCTTCAGTATGGCGCGCAGATTGTAAGAGGAAGAGAAGGAAAGGATACTCCCATTCACGATGTATGTATGTGTTTTATTAGCGATGATAAGATGCATGGAAGATTTGGGGATTTTTTTGGACGTGAAGTAATGTTCTCTGTTTCTGGATGATGAGAAACTGGCGCATATTTAGAGGAGGAGGGATTCGAGAATTGATCAGCGGGTGGATTGTATATTGTGAAAAATTTGAACGAACGGGAGAAGGTATGTTAGGATAAGTTGCGTCCTTTTAGAAGACAGGTTACGTGGTCTAAAGGGAACCATGGAAATTGGCTTTCTAAGGCAGGAGGAAAACAGGGTTTTCATATATAATAATGATATATATATATATATATATATATATATATATATATATATATATATATATATATATATATATTCAGGTTCATTTGAGACCATGCTAATTTTGTGAAATTGTGAAATCAAATCTAAAAATAATTTTAAAATGCAAAATAAAAGGAAAAATCCAAAAATTCTTTTTTTAATTAGATCGAATCTACTAAATGAGTTGCTAGGATTGCATCTCACGGTCTTACAAAATTAGATCGTCTCATATGAGCCTAACTCTCTTTCTCTCTCTCTCTCTGTATATATATATATATATATATATATATATATATATATATATATATATATATATATATATATATATATAACAGTAATCTTTTGTGGTTGACACTTTGGCCCCAATATTTTCTATTGTTTGACAACTTTGGTCCTTGATCGCTTCCCTTTTCCAATTAAGCTTCGTGGCTTCAAACGTTTCCTCCGCCGCTTATGTTATAATTAGTCTAAAAATTTGTCAAATCATCATAGCAACGGACGTCTAAGATAAAACGATAACGATGTGCATGCCTTGCAATTTAGTTGGCGCATTCACTCAATCAGAGGAACTACCTATAAAATATTAAATCAAAAAATGTATGTAGAAAGTTTAGCCACTTCCCCCAAAATGTCACTCACCACAATACACATATAATGTATACAAACAAGGCTCTCATTTCTAGTCTCGATCCACCAAACAAGAAAACGCTCTCGACTCTAGTGTCGATCCATGCAATTAATGACTCTCGGCTCCCGGGTTGTTCCACCATTAACCTTTCGTATCTTGGCTCTCAGCTCCAATGCTGATCCACCATCAATCCTAATTATCTAGTGTTGGGTTTTAATACATCTATACTGTAACACCCCAAAATTACCGGTTAAAAATTTCATTTTTAATTTAGGTTAAAACGTAAAACATCATTACAAAACATTCATGATAATAATCCATGTCTAAAAAAACTGGTGACATCATAATAAGAATTCAGAGTACATCCCAGAAAGTCTATAGTGCGGAAAACCAAAAGCGTATGTGTGATATGCTGCTACCGCGCCGGCTCCTTTCCCCTAGCTGAAGAGGTACCTAAAACCACAACTGTAAACCGTAAGCACAAAGCTTAGTGAGATCCCACATAATACCTCACACCATGAAAGCATATAACAAACAACATTCAACTAGGAGATACGGGCCACGCCCACACTCGTGAAGATACGGGCCCTACCCACACATCGCTATCTGGGAGATACGGGCCTAGCCCACACTCCACTCTCGGAGAGATACAGGCCTTGCCCACACTCAACCGCCAACCCAATCATACAAGTATCACATAGACAACAAGTATATACAACTCTTTCATACTGGCATGTATCATAATCAACTCAACTAAGAGATACGGGCTCGGCCCACACTCTAATACTAATGTCTCGTTTATATGGGCCGGCTTTGGTGCCTTAGACCCATTACTACTGAAAGGAAATTCACCTCGAAATAGCTACTGGTCTGTGTGGGAATTGACTATTTGCTGCTGCTGCTGCTCCGGAAATCCTCCGGCTGTAATTCCTACAACATACTCAATCAATCACTATTAACTGACCTTTGAGTAAAATGACCCTTTTACCCCTGATCATGCCCTAAGTCAGAGTCAACTTCCAGTTGACCCAACTCGCCGAGTTGGCTCTCCAACTCGTCGAGTCCATGTCCAAACGACTAGCCTGGGTTCTGTTTCTACTCGTCGAGTTAGGCGTTGACTCAACGAGTTCTCCATCCAAACTGATGTTCAAGTCCTTCATCCTACTCGCTGAGTTGTATGAACAACTCGGCGAGTTCATCTTCATCCGATGAACACTTATGTTGCGACTCACCGAGTTGTATGAATAACTCGCTGAGTCTGATCTTGATCTAAGGAGATTGCCTTGAACTCGCCGAATCTGGGCATCGACTCGCCGAGTTCTATCATGGGTGAGTTTTGGCTTCCAACACACCGAGTCCACCCTGGACTCACCCCACAACTCGACACAGCTAAAAGAGGACAACTCGGAGACTCGCGAGCAGACTCGCCGAGTCAGATGAACGACTCGCCGAGTCGTTACCATGCACTCCCTATATACGCGGTGTTGCTCGATTCCAGTCCATGCCATTCACAGATCTGGGTTCCTAGAGCATAAATAACACGTAAAGTTTCCAACTTTACGTGTAAATATCCCTCAATGAGAGTTTTAGGGTTCAAAACGCACTAAAAGAGTAGATCTAGGGTGTATAAGCAACATGGGTCCATAAAGGCAGTGGATCCAAGCTCCCGGAGCTCGATTCCACCTAGATCTAGAGGATAATCAGCCTAAGACGAACCCTCCACATACACAAGCTTGGAAAATGGGTCAAGAAGGACTTTAATGGGGCCATAAGCATGAAAACATGGGGAAAACGAGCCATACCTTAGTGAACACTCTGAAATAGCTCAAGGGTGCTTGACCTCCTCTTCTTCTTCTTGATCTCCTTTCCTACTCACTCCAAACTTCAAGAGGACACACCAAATGGCTTCAAATCCACAAAAACAAGGCTTAGAATGAGGTGTAGGGCTCTCAGGGTGAATGGGGGCTGGCTTGGGGATGGAAAGAGGGATTAAATAGGGTGCAAACCCCTGAAACTTAGGGTTTCATCCAACAGTGGTGACTCGCCGAGTCCAGGATATGGACTCGCCGAGTCGCCAACTTAAACGCGTCCTGGGTCCCGTTCCTACTCGGCGAGTCGGACCTATGACTCGCCGAGTCCAAGGCTTAAAATGGAAAATACTCAAATAAGATTTGCGTACCAGGAACCAGGTGCTACAAATCTCCCCCACTTATTTTAGACTTCGTCCTCGAAGTCTGTTGCTCGATCCTGGAACAGCTTCGGGTAATGCTCCATCATTTTGTTCCTCAAATCCTTCGACTTCCTGTCGAGGATTGCGACTGAGCGCTCAATGTAATTCAGGCTGTCGTCAACCTGAATATCCTCCAATGGCACCACTGCTGAATCATCCACTAAGCACTTCCGCAGCTGAGAGACATGGAAAGTGTTGTGGATGTGGCAGAGTTCGACTGGAAGATCCAATCAATACGCCACCTTGCCCACCCGGGCTACAACTCTGAACGGCCCGATAAATGTCGGGCCCAACTTGCCCCGCTTCCTGAATCGAATGATGCCCTTCCAAGGCGACACCTTCAGGAGAACCATGTCCCCGACTTGGAACTCCAAGTCGGATCGACACTTGTCAGCGTAACTTTTATGTCGACTCTAAGCAGTCTGAAGCCTGCGCCGAACCTGCTGGATCCTCTCGATTGTCTTGAGCACCACTTCAGTGCTCCCCATGACCCTCTGGCTAACTTCACCCCAACATATCGGGGTCCTGCACCTCCGTCCATACAACATCTCGAATGGGGGACGGTCTATACTTGCGTGGTAGCTGTTATTGTATGAGAACTCGACCAAGGGAAGATAGGTATCCCAACTACCACCGAAATCCAACACACATGCCCGCAACATATCCTCCAAAGTCTGGATGGTCCGCTCGCTTTGACCATCCGTCTGCGGGTGAAAGGCAGTGCTAAAATGCAACCGAGTGCCCAGCTCGTCATGAAACTTCTTCCAAAATATGGAAGTGAATCGCACATCTCGGTCTGATATCACTAACACCGGCACCCCGTGTCGCGCTACTATCTCCCTGATGTAGATATCGGCTAACTTTTCAGCCGAGATGCTCTCCTGGATCGGAATAAAATGGGCGCTCTTGGTCAATCGATCCACGATGACCCAAATCGAATCTACTCCACGCGCAGTCCTAGGAAGCTTTGTGATAAAATCCATCGTGATGTCTTCCCATTTCCACAACGGGATGTCCAACGGCTGCATCTTCCCATGCGGTCTCTGATGTTCGACCTTGACCTTCCTGCAGGTCAAGCACCGCTCGACGTACCATGCCACATCCCGCTTCATGCAGGGCCACCAATAATCTAGTCGAAGATCCCTATACATCATCGTCGCCCCGGGATGAATAGAAATTCGGGACTTGTGCGCCTCCTCCATCAAAATCTGGCGCACGCCTCCGTGATACGGCACCCACACCCTACGGTGTAGTGTCAATAGTCTTCGACTATCATAATCGAAGGAGGAAAACTGACCTACCACGCGCTCGCTCTTCCGATGTTCCTCCTTGATAGCCTCCTGTTGAGCCTCCCGAATCTGCTCCAACAGGGGAGTCATTATAGTCATCCTCATGTAAACGTCCCTACTCCAACAGGGGTATGACTATCTTGGAGAAATCCTGAATAAATCTCCTATAGTAGCCTGCTAATCCCAGGAAACTCTAAATCTCATATGGAGACTTCGGAACCTCCCATCTCATCACGGCCTCGACCTTGGCCGGATTGACCAGAATCCCATTCTGGTTGACAAGGTGTCCGATAAATTGCACCTCACGCAACCAAAAATCACACTTGGAGAACTTGCCATACAAGCTCTCCCTCCTCAGGGTCTCCAACACCTCTCTCAGATGCTCCTCATCCTCTTCCTGAGTCT